CCATATTTCTGATTAAAAGAAATAAGCAGCAGATGGAATACAGTTATATATAAATCAATATAGCTTTAACAAATCTTCAATTTACGATTAAATGGATGGCCATATAAACATATGCTTTAAATAGCAGCTACATTTTTTTTTGTTTTAACTTACGAAGGAACCAAAAAAAATTTAACAGCTGATATAAAAAAAAAATCTTTTTTTTTTTTACAAAAATATTGTTGCTGCATCTCAGAAATTATGATACACGGGGATTTTAATAAAGAAAAGAAACCAGAATGTGAAATAGATATACAGACTGAAACAATTAATGAGGCCAACTTTGAACTCCCCTAAATTGAAACTCTAACGGCAGCAGATACACAAAGATGACCCCAAAATCGATTTACATGAATAACAGACCCAACCCGCTAAAGTTCAAGAGAAGATTGAAGGATTGTTTAACATAAGACATCGTGCTAGTACCTGTAATGAGACCGGCTAAGGATAGGAAACAACAATATGAGAGACAATATGGAATGATAGAGATTTCCGATTCCAGTTCATAAAAAACGGCGGAGCAACATTTAGGATGCCGGTAGGGTTTATGAACGATAATACGTAAATAACTCTCTCTGTATTCTAGGTCAAATATTATTTCGGGTCAAGATAACTGATTTGGGTCTCTTAATCCTATAAGATGTATATTCTTATGACTAAAATTGTACTTATGACCCAACTGAAAATTTGTATTTTCCATTTTACTAAATAAAAATTAAAATCATACTTATTTCTTTGACTAAAATTAATTTGAGCTTATCGGTCAACGTTACCTGCCACAAATAAAACACATGATATAAAGTAATAAATCGCATTAATCATAAAAGACGTATATGACTGACTGAAATAATTAATAATGATTAATATAACTAGCTCATAAAAATCGGGGTGTTACATAAACAAGGTGCATATCTAATTTTAAAGGGAGCCCAGCTCCCAAAACTGAAAGTTAAGCATGTTTGCACGAGAGTAGTCTTGGGATGGGTGAGACCTCATGAGAAGTTTATGAGGACGGTACTATGTCCTCAAACATTATTTTGAGGAGTAATATTCTAAATAAGTAAGGTTGGAGTTACTTTTTTTCTTGCTTAAGTTGGAGTTACTTTTCTAAATGAATTGACTTAAGTTATTATAGAAGACTAATTTAGCTATTTTCATGTAATTTTTTCTTAATTGTATTAATAAAATACAATTCTCTCATAAGTCAGCAAATTCAACCACCGCTTCATAAACTTCAGCAGATTCAACCGATTCCAGTATCAATAAACAAGCCTTCAAATTTGTAGAGAATTGAGAAAATAGCATATGTAAACCAATATATTAGTGTCCAGTCAAGGGAAATTGCCCTAAGTAGGAGTTCTAGAATATAAAAATAGGAGTACTATGTTTTTATTTGCGAAATAAAAGTCGTTACTGTCATGATTGAAAAATACTGACATTAGTACCTGGGGGTAAATAATGTCATATTAACTTCTAGTACTGCAACTTTTTTCAATGTAATGATTCAAATTCAAATTGAATCGTTACTCCTATTTCGGGGGGGGGGGGGGGGGGGGGACATAGTAGTTTCATTTTTGAGATCTCAAACATTTTTACTCCTATTTTTCGGAAACTTTCGCAAATATCAAACAAGATAAACGAATATTATATTGTATCAGAAAATTTCATTTATTTTTTCGTACTCGTACATAGCTCTTGTGAATGGAAACTACTTCCTCCGTCTCATAAAACCTGGTCGATTTTTTTTGCTATTCCGAATTTTTTTGTCATTTTCATTTAAAGTAAGAGTGTTTGCCACTTTTGGTCCTCCGACTATTGTTTCAGTGACACTTTTGGTACTCGACTTTTAATTTTTCCATTTTTGTCCTCGACTATTGTACAAGAGACACTTTCAGTCATTGACTTCCAAATTTCCCACATTTAGTCCATTGGGTATTACTTCCTCCGTCCTGCTAAGATTGTCTCATGCCTTATTCACTTGGTCAACACAAATCACTCTTAATCTCTTACTTTATATATTAATTTTTTTTTATCAAATTTGATTTTGGTTTTTGCGACTGTAAAGTTTTTAATATAGTTTCTGAAAGTCAAATTCTATAATTCACCGTAGTGTTTATCCTCTTTATTGAAAGGTATAAATAGGAAAATACAAATGATGAATTTACATGATGTGCGGCCTCTACAATTCTATCCGCTACTATTGCTCCGATGCTACGAATACAAGAGCCGTATAGGCTATAAACACGGATGGTAAAAGCTATCCTAACAATATGCAAGGCAAGTGGCTAAAGATAATATTGTACATAATTTTAATATAATACAAATAATAATAAGTTGACTGCATGTGTAGAACGCATGTTAGACGTACGTATGCATGCCGTGCATACGTAACTTATCACGCCCCCGCAGTTGCAGCTGGAGGAGGCCGAATGCTGAGACTGGATCGGAAATCTTCGAACAAAATGCGCGGCAAGCCTTTAGTGAAAATATCAGCATATTGATGACGAGACGGGACATGAAGAACTTTGATTTGTCCGCGGGCCACTTTTTCACGAACAAAATGAATGTCCATTTCAATATGTTTAGTGCGTTGATGCTGAACCGGATTGCCGGAAAGATAGACGGCGCTAATATTGTCACAATATACTACGGAAGCTTTGTGATGTGGATGGTGGAGTTCAAGCAACAAGTTTCGCAACCAACAGAGCTCGGCTACCGCATTAGCAACACCCCGGTATTCAGCTTCAGCACTGGAACGAGACAGAGTGGGTTGGCGTTTAGAGGACCATGAAAGTAAGTTGTCACTCAGAAAAACACAATAGCCGGATGTGGAGCGACGAGTGTCGGGACACCCACCCCAATCGGCGTCGGTATATGCAACAAGGTCGGTGACGGGAGAAGACCGCAAATGGAGACCCATATGTGGAGTGCCTTTGACGTAGCGTAGAACTCGCTTCAAGGCGTGAAGATGGGGCGCACGTGGGTCATGCATAAAGAGACATAATTGTTGTACAGCGTAGGATATGTCGGGCCGAGTAAAAGTGAGATATTGCAACGCCCCCGCAAGACTACGGTACATGGTGGGATCCTCAACTGGCGGGCCGTCCGAAGCACTCAATTTTGAGTGTGTATCGACGGGCGTGGTAGTAGGATTACATGTAAGCATGCCGGCCCGTTGCAAAATTTCCGAGGCATACTTAGATTGAGAGAGAAAAAGCCCGTTGGAATTGCGTGTGACGGAGATGCCCAAAAAATAAGTGAGGGGCCCGAGGTCGGTCATGGCAAATTCCGCCGCAAGAGAAGAAATAACTCGCTGAAGAAATTCATTAGAAGAAGCCGTGAGGATAATGTCGTCAACGTATAACAATAGATAAGCCGTGTGATTGCCTTGTTGTGTGATAAATAAAGAGTGATCACAAGCACTATGAGAGAATCCAAGAGAGGTGATATACGTAGCAAACCGTTGATACCAAGCCCGGGGGGCTTGTTTAAGGCCATAAAGGGACTTAAGTAAACGGCACACATGAGAGGGACGAGAATGATCACGGTAGCCCGGGGGTTGATGCATGAACACAGTTTCGTCGAGAGTGCCATGGAGAAAAGCATTCTTGACATCAAGTTGGTGTAGTGGCCAATTATGAGAAAGAGCCAATGTGAGTACCGTACGAATGGTAGCGGGTTTGACAACCGGACTAAATGTTTCGTCACAGTCAATGCCAACCTGTTGAGAATTCCCATTGACCACTAACCGAGCTTTGTGACGTTCAAGAGAGCCGTCCGACCTGTACTTGTGTTTATAAAGCCACATGCAGCGAATGATATTAGCATTAGGAGGACGAGGAACCAACTCCCACGTCTTATTCTTAATTAAAGCATTAAATTCATCATCCATGGCCAATTTCCAATTCGGGTCATTAAGGGCTTGGATCGGTGATTTAGGAATAGAAGACGGGGTTATAGTATGGCTTAGGTTAAAAAAGGATTTTGGCTTGAGAATACCGACCTGACTACGTGTGGTCATGGGATGGACTCGTGAGGTGACATTCGGCATGTGGTTATTGACGGGAGGGGAGGTGATTGGAGAGTCATCACTTGGGGGAGAGGAGTTGTTGGGAGGAGGGGATGTGGTTTGTGAGGGTGTACTGGAGGGTGAGGTGGAGTGGGACTCAATAGACGAATTATTTGGAGTAAGGTGGGTGTTTGATGGTAGGGCCGAAGGAATGGTGTGGGGCAGTAAAGGATATAGACGGTAGTAAATGTGATTGGGGTCCATAGAGGTGTGGGACGTATACGAAGTACTCGTTTTGAAGGGAAAAATATGTTCATCAAATGTTACATGCCGTGATATGATAAATTTGTTGGTTAACAAATCAAGACAAATATAACCTTTGTGATTAGAAGGAAAACCCATAAAAACACAGGGAGTACTACGAGCTTGAAGTTTATTTATAGAAGTAGGGGGCAAGTGAGGATAACAAAGACACCCGAATACACGGAGATGAGAGTACGTAGGGTGCTTATGATATAGAAGGTCGGTGGGTGTAAGGAAGGAAATAGAAGCGCATGGGAGAATATTATGTAAATAAGTGGCCATATGAATGGCGTGAGGCCAGAATTTGGGCGGGATAGATGCATGCAATAATAAAGTTCGTGCAATATTATTAATTGTACGAATAGAGCGTTCAGCCTTTCCATTTTGGGAAGATGTATATGGACAGGAGTAACGAAAGTGCATGCCATGAAGTTCACCAAATTTTCGAAATGTAGAATTGTCAAACTCTTTTCCATTATCGCATTGAAGTATTTTGATTTTACATTCAAATTGAGTGTGAATTAGAGAATGAAACCGAGAAAAAATGGAGAAGGTTTGTGATTTATATTGCATGGGGAATGTCCAAATAAATTTGGTGAAATCATCAATGAAAATTACATAGTATTTGTGACCAGAGGTACTAATAATAGGAGAAGTCCAAATATCACTATGAATTATTTCAAAAGGGCGAGAAGTAAATGATTCAGAAGAGGAAAAAGGCAATTTAATGTGTTTGCCTATTTGACATGAATTACATAAATGGGAAATGGGTCGGTTACATGGTAACATTTTATTTGAACTAAGAAATTTAGAAACAGGAGACCCGGGGTGGCCGAGCCGGTCATGCCAAACTTGGGCCGGGACTGTAACGAACGCGGACTGCTGCAGTGAGTGCGGGGAAAAAGAGTGAAGCGGATATAAGTCGCCCGTACTGTTAGACCGTATGATTGGAATGCCCGTCTGAAAGTCCTTCACAGAAAAACCAAACGGGTCAAACTCAACAGAAACAGAATTATCAGTAGTAAAACGACGAACAGAAATTAGATTTTTAATAAGGGAGGGGGCATATAGGACGTTTGTAAGAGTGAGGGGGGGATTGGGGGGTGGCAGGATGGTATGGCCGAAACCAGAAATTGGCATGGTATTGCCATTGCCAACCTGGATTTTGTTTTTAATGCTTAAATTAGAAAAAGAGAGTAGGGAACCTGGATTAGCCGTCATGTTTGACGAAGCCCCCGTATCCATATACCACGGTTCACCTTGAGGAGATAAGGTCATCGTTTGCATTGCCGCGGCCAAGTCAGTGGGCGTAGCTTCCGCCATATGAGCCTGATGCGGGCGAGGTCCCAAAATACCGGCTCCAGAAGGAGGACGTGAGCCGGGCGGAACATTCCAAGACATACCTGGATAGGGGCATGGAGGGGCGGCCCAAGCCTGCGGGTGCAACCAGTAAGCCCAGGGGGGAGGCTGAGGCCATTGACCGGGCGCAGGGGTGGGTTCCACACGCCCAGCCTGCCGTCCACGACCACCGCGCTGAGAGGAGGAGCGCCCACGACCGCCACCCCGGTGTGAGCCCCCGCGGCCGCCACGAGAAGGAGATGGGACGGGCGGTGTGATATCGGCGGAGGAGTGAATCAAGGCAGTGGCAGGAGATGACTGATTGCGGCGTGATTCCTCGAGAACAACCATAGATCGGGCTTTAGAGAACACGGGCAGAGGTTCCCGTTGTTGGATGAGAGAGGCGACCATATTGTAATCCGGAATGGATGAAAGTCCATTGACCATACGCAAAACAAGTCGATCGTTGTCCACGGTAACACCCACATTTTTGAGTTTGGTGCAAAGGTCTTTGAGATGCCGGCAATATGTGGAGACGTTCTGGAACTGATCTAGCCGTGTATTTGAGAACTCATTCTCCAAATACAAAGCCCGTGCATGCTTGTTGTCGTGGAAAAGGTCAGCGAGGCGTTCCCACGCATCATGAGCCGTGGAATCCACCTCGATGATGGTGTGAAGGAGGTCGTGAGAGATCGTGCCGTAAATCCATTGAAGAACAACGGCATCTAGGCGGGGCCATAAGGCGGCCGCCTCGGCTCGGGTAACGGCAAGTGCAGCACGTTGTTCATCAGTGAGAGAAGAATCCGTCGTTGTAGACGAAGAAGCTGCGGTGGAGGGAATTATATGGTCAAGAACTTCGTATGCCCGGGCGGTAATTTTGAACAATTCCGCCCAAGAAGCATAGTCACCGTTATCGAGATCAAGGGTGAGAGGGATGAAGTTCTTGATATTTGAGATGGCCAAGGCCGGGTGAAAAGAGGTCTTAGAAGAAGACATTGAAGGAAGAAAGAAACAAAGGGAATAGCGGAAGGTAAGCCTGGAACGTCTGATACCAAGTCAAATTCTATAATTCACCGTAGTGTTTATCCTCTTTATTGAAAGGTATAAATAGGAAAATACAAATGATGAATTTACATGATGTGCGGCCTCTACAATTCTATCCGCTACTATTGCTCCGATGCTACGAATACAAGAGCCGTATAGGCTATAAACACGGATGGTAAAAGCTATCCTAACAATATGCAAGGCAAGTGGCTAAAGATAATATTGTACATAATTTTAATATAATACAAATAATAATAAGTTGACTGCATGTGTAGAACGCATGTTAGACGTACGTATGCATGCCGTGCATACGTAACTTATCACTGAATATGTAAAAAAAAAACTCTGAAATTAATTTGAGTGTGGACAGGAATTTGTGTATTTTATCGTTGGTCAAGCATCGTAAACCGAATTGTACCAAATATAGTAGGACGGAGGTAGTATTAAATTGACACTTTTAGTCCTTCCACTATATATGATTTTGACACAATAAGTGAATGACTAAAAATGTCACTGTTACAATAGTTAAAAGACCAAAAGTGTCACTTCTATAAAAGTCGAAAGACTAAATATAGAAATTGTTAAAGACGTGTATCTAAAGTGTCTTTCGCACAATAGTTGACAGACTAAAAATGGAAAGTTTCAAAGTTGAGTATACCAAAAGTGTCACTGGCACAATAGTTGCTCAAGTAATAAATAGGTGGTTAAATCATTTTGTTTTCTCCTCCACACAAATTTTAACCATGCGATTTTTATTTTTTAGAGTATTTTACATGCTAGCCAAACTTGACTACATTTTTTGAGATGGAGGGAATAATTTATGGTAAGAACTCCGGTACGGCCATTTAAAAAATGGGGGCACCGTACCTACCATTCACTTGATTGGTCCAAATAGGTATATCACTTTTAATTTAGAATTAAATAATTCAACTGCAACATTCTGGTCCATGTGGACAAAGGTATAGTACCTTATGAGTATCATAGAATCTACCATAATTTATTTAACTAAAGCGAAAATCAAACCAAAACAGAAAACCTTATAAAAAAGGGTGGAGCTAGGGGTACACACTTTGTACAAAAAATGTGTACCCCAATCTTTTTTCTATAAAAAAACTTATTTCACTTGTTATTCCACGGAGTAGTTTCTAAGGATATGCAATTATATCAATCACTCTCCTTAGCATACGCCTGAAGAGCATCTCCCGTGAGCTTCCCGTACCGGAACTCGTCCATGATCTCGACGCCCATGCCGACATAGAAGTCGTACGATTTCTTGTTCCAAACCGCCACGATCCCCTCCACGGACGAGAACCCCTTGGTGGCAGCATTGGTAGCCACGGTGGAAAAGAGAAGCCGCCCGAACCCTAACTTCCGGTAGCTCGCTCGAAAGTAGAGGCTCTCGAAGAAAATCCCGGGCCGGTCGTAGAAGCAGGAGTAGTTGGGGAAGAAGAAGGCGTACCCAGCTATATAAGCCTCGTGGTCGTCAACGTTAGACCTGAACTGCTCCCATTCATTATCGGAAACGGGGGCTTTCAGGTCTAACGACTTGACGATGGGCTCGAAACCCGAACTATCGGGTGTAGGAGTAGGGAACTCGGATGAGGAGACCTCAAGGAGGAGAATGGTTGGGGAGTAGAAAGGAGGGTTTGGGTTTGATCCGAAGAGCATGTTGGACAAGGATTCCTCACTCACTTTGTAGAGGTGAGTCAACTCGTGGTATTGATGGATTTGATAAAAAAGCTTATCAATATGGGTTATGTCGGATCGGGTGGCTAACCGGACTCTAGCGTAGATCTTTCCACTGATTTCCATGCTTTGTATACAAAAGGCTGCCGGCCGGAGAAGCTAATAAGGTAGCTAGAAACAAGAAGCTTTAATGTGTAAGTTTGTACTTCAATTCGATGATTTAGTGTGTGGCATTTTGATGATTTATGGCTCTCTATTTATAATAGAATTGATTGAAGTGGAAAACTAAAGCACGCAACCAAATTTAAGCACGAAGTGATAGCAGAAGACTGGAAAAGTTAAATTGCTTGGTCACCTAAAACAACACAAACGAAAGTGACATTTTTTGTTGCAAAAAATGTGTTTGTACCCACTTTTGTACCCATTTTTTGTACTCACCCCCTATTTTGCTTGTATACACAGACAATACGTTAAGAAGAAGATAACATTTGTCTCCTAATTGCCTGTGTAAACGGACAAATGTACAAATGTGTGTACAAAAGTAAATACAACAAGAATGAGTCTTTATTATAAACTTTTTGTGGCCTTCTTTCATTGTAGCTCCCTTTTATCTTTGCGATTTAATCTATACCTACACGATTTTTTGTAAAATAAAAATATCAGATACAAATTTGTTCAAATGTGAACGAAATAATATCAAACTCGGATTTTTAAAAAAATGAAAAGTGAGAATGTCGATTATCAAATTAGAACGCACAAAAAAATAATGAAGACAGACATAAAATTATCCCAAGCGCGTAACTACTTATCACGTTAGTGGTTTAAATAAAGGGTGACAACTCCGGTACCCATTTAAAAAATGTGGTACCGTACCTATCATGCATTTGATTGGTCCAAATCATTAAATCTCTTTTAATTTAGATTTAAATAATTCGACTGCATGATTCTGATTGGTCCATGTGGACAAAGGTACGGTACCTTATGAGTACCATAGAATCTACCTAAATAAATATCCACTTAGTAGATTCTATAGTACCCATAAGGTACCATATTTTTGTCCACATGGACCAATGAGAATATAGCAGTTGAATTATTTAAATCTAAATTAATAATGATAAAGTGGTGTGGTCCAATCAAATGAATGGTAGGTACGACACCCTATTTTTTTAGAAGTGTACCGGAGTTGTCACATATCCACTTTGGGTCTCTACTCTAATTACTATACAATTAATATAAAAAAGTAAAACATTATAGAAGCATAACATTTCATACTTAACGTACACCATCAAAACATTGAGATAACATAATGCACAAAATTACATAAGAAAAATGATTCTACAACTCTACGAATGTACCCTCCTAGGTTTCATTTGAAAAAAAACATTCATAAATAAATAAATTTAATACTTCGTAATATTTAATTAACATTCAAATAAATTTTACTAATTCTTCCAAAAAAATGAATTGCGAAACAGGATGACAAGCCGCATGCATAACAGGATCATTTACAGCAGGGACGGAGCCAGAACTTAGTCATAGGGGGGGCAAAGAAGCAACAAAAAGAACCAACCAGATTTTTTTGAAGAATTTTTTTGAGAATGTTATCCATGATGTGTAGATTATTTACATCAAATTTCAGTTTAAAATTCAATCAGGAAGTCAATTAAACAAATTATTTAAAAACATTGAGTCAAAATATATATAAAACAACACAATGTTTTTCTATAATTTTTTAATTGACTTCTTGGTTCAATTTTAAGCTAAAATTTGTTTGAAATAATCTACTCTTCATGACAAATATGCTCACAAAATTTGATAAAAAAGTTCTACACAAAAACATCTCAAATAGAGGCTTCTATCAGGTTATTTTGGTCCCAACTTTTCTGATTATTTTATATTGAATACTAATACTATTAAAAAGTATAAAAACTGGGAGGGGCAATGGCCCCCCTACCCCTCAATGTAGATCCGTCCCTGATTTACAGCCTGTGCATCCGTTTCATTAGTGCATGTTTGGTATCCATGATTTTTAGTTTTTCAAGCTTATAAACCAACTTTTTCATCCAACACGTATCTTTTGATTTTACGAGCTGAATTGTGTAATAATAAGAAAAAGTAACGTTGTAGTTACTTTTCTGGCTGTATTGGTTGAAGTTGTTGTAGAAGACTGTTTTAACTATTTTTTATACTAGTATTCTACCCGTGCGATGCACGGGAAATAATCTTGACGTAAGTTAAAAAATAAATAGTGACACAATTTTAAAAATTTAATATGCTTGGTATCAAAACCTTTTCACCTGCACTGAACCCTATCAAAACTTTTACTTCCAAAATATGCTTACCTAATTTGGTAATAATTAACCAACCCAGTCCCATTACACAGCCCCTGAGAATGATCAAGGTTCCTCATTTGCATCACTGGTGTTCCAACTTTAAGATGCAGTTCATGATTTGGAATTCCTGAAGCTTTAATTCCATTCAAAAATCCTGGAGTATGGATAACCGATAAAAAGTTAGGATTTGAATCTGATTTATCATGATTTGGACCACCTACATCTAAAATCACGGTTCTTTAATTTCATATTTCACAGTTAAAAAATTGTATAAAAAAGGTAACAACTTTGATTAATCACCTTTATTGCATTGGCCTCTTAGAGGTTGATGGCATTCAAGTAGATCTACATTTCACAAATGTTGAAGTTATACATAACGCTTAACGTTATTGTCTTGAGATGGATGTTGACACTGAAAACTTGTTGAATATTTTCTATATGAAATGAAGCAAATTGAAATCACAAATGATGAAAACGGTTAGCAACACAAGAGGGGGGGGTGAATTGTGTGTGTGTGGAACCGTGGCAGTTTTTCGCCGAGTTCTAGTGTGGGATAAAGGGAATTGCAAAATAGTAAAGTGCACAAGAATTTAACGAGGAAAAATCCCTTGGCTCAAAGGGATTAAAAAACCTCGACCTCCCTCGGAGGAATTTTAAACAACTTCACTAAACAAGCCTTTGAAAGAGTTACAAGAGTGATTCTCCTAATCTACCCTTGAGCCTCCCCAACTCTATCCTCTCTAGGAAGAGTTATGCATCTCTACCTTGCGGGTAGAGAGCCTCTCAGCTTTGTCACAAAGCTCTCACACACACTTAACCCGAGGCAGCTACTCTAGCCAATTAAGCCTCAATATTCCAAGTACAATATGAAAGGGAAAAGAGAAACTCTATCTAGAACTCCGAGCGGGCAGTTTCAGGCGCCAAGGACTTGATCCTTTTCTTGAATGATTCTTCTAAGTATTTTTCTCGGTTCAGCTCACTTTAATTCTCTTTGGCTGCTTCGTTTATATAGGCTGTCTTGAGCAGACCGTTTGAGTAATCCTCCTTGAATAGTTGATCTCCTAATCTTGAGACTTGCCTTGATATTTTGAATTACTTTCCTTAGAGTAGCTCTCTTTATTCGGTCTCAAATATGAGTAAATTTGCTCAAGATTCACGAGTCAACATATAAGGAAATAATATCGATTTACTTAACATGCTTTAGTCAAGCAACGGACCATATCAATAAAAATATTCAAATACGGTGCTACTTCAAATAGGGTCAGACAATCAAGTCTACGTAAATCAAGATTCTTTCCACTAATATTCAAGATATTCAAATAACACATAAGAGCACATCAATTTGGGAGAGTATCTTATGCAGCAACGGTTCCAACAATAATATGGCAAGGAATAATTTATTCTCTTATTATAGCAAGAGAGCAATAAAGTGGTCAATGATTACTTAAATAAAGATATGCAAGTAATCCAATTCAAATGATGCTACGTGTAACTTATTATATGCAAAGATCTCACACAAATAATTCAATCATGGAAGGCAATGTAATTGGTATGGTAAGAAATATTTATTTCAAAAGGAAAAAGCCACTTACGGTAATCTTCCATAAGGCAAGATATTTAATTCATTAATGCTATGGTCAACCCAAAATTACTTGTCATAAAGCACAATTACTTTTATGAAGCACAATTACGTATATTATATGGTCATGCAATAATGCACTCATATTACTTTCCATAAAGCATATGTAACAATACATTTCACAAAATATTTAATCAATTATAGAAAGGTATTAATGCATGTAAAATATCATACGTTGAAAGACATGCACATGCAGACACATAACAAATTATGGGACCGAATGTTTCGTGGAACTGTTCTGTCCAGAGTTCATATTAGAACTCTCCGTAGTCGGTTCTGTCCCCCGTTCCATCTGCATGGTTAGTCATCAACAAGAAACTCACAAGTGTTTATAGACCAGGTCTATGCTTTGTTCCTGCACAGTTAGTCATCAACAAAACCACATACTCAACAAATTCCCCCTTTTTGTTGATGACAAACATTAGGTGCCATAATAAAGATATCCCTGCATATTAGTATCGAGCATAGAAATATCAACACATAAAGGGGCACCTGCTTTTTCCCCCTTTTGTCATTCAACAAAAGGAATCAAAATATTTCCCAAATCAAGACATTTAATTGTTCCCCCTTAGAAGAGGCCGGAAGATCCTGCATGCTTTCTTCGCGAAAGAGATTAGTACCAGTGATACAATTTAGGAAATGAGAAGTAGAACAAATAAATTAGGAATTAATTAGACCGAGTTCCAGTCTAATTATTTCAAACCTTTCTCTTCCCAGAGGCTTGGTAAAGATATCAGCTATTTGTTTCTCGGTGTTGCAATATTCCAGCCTGATTATTCCCTTTTCCACGCAATCTCTCAGAAAATGATGTCGTATATGAATATGTTTTGTCCGAGAATGCATGACCGGGTCCTTTGATATGCTAATTGCACTTGTATTATCACACATAATTGGTGTGCATTTTAGATCAACTCCGTAGTCGCTTAACTGTTGCATGATCCACAGTGATTGAGAGCAGCATGATGCAGCAGCTACGTACTCAGCCTCCGCTGTTGAGAGTGCTATTGAGTTTTGTTTCTTAGAACTCCATGAAACTAGACATGGACCCAGGAAATGAGCAGTTCCAGACGTACTTTTTCTATGTAATAAATCACCTGCAAAGTCAGAATCTGAATATGCAATTAGTTCAAAATTCTCATTACGAGGATACCATAGGCATAAATGAGCAGTTCCTTTGAGATATTTGAGGATCCTTTTCACAGCCTTGAGGTGAGATTCTTTGGGATTGGCCTGGAACCGAGCACATAGACCTACGCT